TTGATAAAGTACACAAGATGAAATGAGTGCAGCAAGATTTTACCTCTCAACCAAAACAAAAAGTTGTCTGAGGGATGGAGCCATAATGCTGTGCCCTCAATACTGTTTGAAAGCCATGGACAAAATTCCCCTCAGTTTAAGTCCCAAGATCTATGCTTTTGCTGTCATTCCCCCACCCCAGTTTGATTTATAAATGTCAATCAACCTATGCAAAATTCATTTTTCAGGAAGGTTTTGGCTGCAGTGTAAAATTGTCTTGCTGTGAAAGAATCCTTAGACACAGATGTTTGATCTGCAGGTGCTTTCTGAACATTTTCATGAGAGCAGAGGTATGGCTTCCCCTGGGAAGGCTGGTCCAGCTATCTACTGTAATCAGGGAGTGACAGTCAGAGGCAGGCTCACCTCCTCTGACAATACAGCATTTCACAAGTCTTCCTCAGGGACAGTCCCTGCATCCTGGCAATGCTAAAATAAGTAACCATTGCCTGCCAGATGTTATCTTGTTCCTCTGCAGAGATATCTGCAAGAGCTCATCTAACAGTTTACTAGCCTGAGCCTGACATTTCAGAAGGAGCAGGAAACAAGTCTGAAAATTAACACTGCCAGAGGTAAAAGTAGATATTTGAATAGAGTTTATAATGAAACAGTCTTTAGACAAAGCTTGTTGAGGATGTGCTGAGAACTTTCCCACTTCTCTGGTGAGTCACATTCTGGTTCTTCTTAGGTCTACAGGAGTTTAAATATGAATGATGGCTCTGAGGGAATGAAGAAATGAAGACAGATCTCAATAAGGCTGTCGTATCTCATGTATTTGGCTTACCCTGAGACTGGCTTTGTCCCATGTCAACTCTCTCCACCTTTTTTTACTCTTCTCAGAAATTGTAACAGATAAGGTTCTCTACTTAGAATCACAGAATGACTTGCATTGGAAGGGACCTTAAACACCACTTAATTCCAAGCTCCCTACACCTTCCATTAGATCAGGTTGCCCAGGGTCCCATGCAGCCTGGCCTGGAACACCTCCAAGGGTGGTGCATCCACAACTTCTCTGGGCAAACTCTTCCAGTGCCTCACCAACATCACAGGGAAGGATTTCTTCTTCACATCTAATCTAAACTTAACCTCTTTAGTTTTAAAATTGTTCCCCTGTTTTCTATCACTACCTGCTTGTGTAAAAAGTTGATTTCCTTCTTGTTTATAATCTCCTTTTAAGAACTGGAAGATTACAATGAAGTCTCCCTGGAGCCTTCTCTTCTCCAAGATAAACAAGCTCAACTCCCTCAACCTTTCTCCATAGGAGAAGTGCTCTAGCCCTCTGAGCATCTTTGTGACACTCCTCTGGACGCTCCAACAGCTTACTTTCTTATGCCGTGGGCCCTAGACCTGAATCTAGTATTGCAGATGAAACCTAACAAAGGCAGGGTACAGAGGGACAATTATCTCCATTGCCCTATTGACCACTCGTCTTTTGAAGCAGACCAGGATACTTCCCGGTTTCCAGGTTGGAATCACACACTGATGGCTTGCATCAAGCTTTTCATCCACTACAAACAGTCCTTTTCACAGAGCTCCCACTCGTCACCCAACTTGTATTCATATATGGGATTGTAACTCCTTTGTAGTTTTAAAATGATAAATTTGGCAGCAGGTAACAATATACACTCAATTTCTGCTGTATTTGATAGTGCCAAGAAAAAGATTAAAAGATGGAACATACACTATTTTTACTAGATCAGGTAAGAAGTTCATCTAATGTCCCCTAAAACTGAACTCCATTTTGAACTGTTAAACTGCTTAATCCCCTATTCTTGATGTATGAAATAAATCTTTATGGATTTCTTTTAATGTCAATCTTCAAAGGTGTATGTAATATCATTTTCTTAGGTTTCTCCACTTAATCATCACATCCCTGTTACCATATTTTTCTATATCTGTTCAAGAATCTTGAAACAAAACCCTCTTTACTACCAAACTTGTCTAGGGATAACAGTCTGTGTTACCACCTAGAATACGGAGGTGGCAGTACCAGGAATAACCCTGATTTCATTTTTAAAGATCAGATATTTTTGCTTGATTTGTATTACAGCAAGTACATAAGCAAGTTTAAGTATTATTGACTTGCATTAGTCAAGCAGTCTGGGAATATGCATCTCCCACCACCGTATCCTTCCTCAGCTCTTATTTTCTGAAAAGCATTCATGTGCAGCTGAAAATGATGTTTTTATTCACTAGAGGTTGTTTGCTGGACTCCTTACAGCAATGGCAATAAGTGGCTTGTAGTCACTTTCAGCTAACAGTGACCTTCTGCAAATAATGAAATCAAAATATTTTTGCTTCTCACAGACTAAAGCCTTTCTTCTCTATCTTACTTTGTTCAGTGCCAATGACACATAAGCCACACATTTCCAGGTCTGACTATTTTACAAGTAAAGCAATGTACCTTACAGGCAGCTGTAATTACCTTATGTTGGTCTCTGATTTAATAAGAACTGCCTGCTTGCATTGCTGTGCAAGGTTTCTCTCTCATATACATTTTCTTCATTTCAACTTAATAATTTATTGTTTGCTTTAATTTAGCAGGTCTAGCTCTTTATTAGCTTCTAAGCCTCAAGCCATGCCTTTCTATCATTCCTTCACTATCTCCAAATATCGTATGTGCACACTTGAGCACCTTATTGCTAACCCTTAACATGACCAGTGGTAGCTTAAGAGAACTATGACTCCTAAAGTGCACACAGCATAACCATGTAAGTGGAAATATTTATGTTCTGGGCTTTATTGTTTTGTTCTTTCTGAAGGTATCTGCTGGAAACATGATGTTGTCTCATGAGTAAATAAATACTGCAGTATCATCAGTTTTTCTGACTTGCTGGTAGTAGAGAAAACTCCCTCTACATGTGCCTTATTCATAAGTATATATGTAAAAAACACAGTGGTTTTTTTGTTGTTATTTTTTTTTTCCAGAGGCACAAAGAATGCATCCTGTCTGAAAGCTGTATGCACTATTTCCATAGCTATTTACATTGTTACTTTTTCTTTCTTTTATCTTTGCAAAATGATTTAAACATGTATATAGCCCAACATAACTTTTTCACGTCTGCGCTACACACAATTTGGAGCTTCTCTGTTCTGAAAAGTAATGCCTTCTATTTTATTACGTTGGCTCACAACATCAGAAGCAGATGTTAGTGATAGTAAAGGTTGAACCTTCCCACACCAATATTCCATTACATTTTGTTGCTGTGAGACAGATGGCAGCAGAGAGGCAGTCTGACAAATTGGCATCTGACATGGAAGTGCGTGTGGAGCAAAGATGTGACATTGAAGTCCTCTATGTAGAAAAACTGACATCCACTGACATCCATCAATGCTTGCTAAATGCTGATGGGGATCAAAGAGTGGATGTGAACACAGTGAGGCAATGCATGGGGCAGATATTTACAAGTGCAGCATGCAGGCTTTTGTTCGTGGCTAGTGAAAATTCACAGGTAATAGTGGTGACTATGTTGAAAAAGAATGCTTTGTAGCTGAAAATTTGCTCTACCAAACAGTGCTCTTGTGCTCTTTGTATCTGTTGTTGTGTTACTTTAAAAGATATGTAGATATCTTAAATAATTCCACAAGTGTTTTGGTTTTCTTATTATCTGGTCTCACCATTAGCTGCCTTATGCTTTTAGCACTAATACTATTAAAAAATGAACATACTGAAGAACCCTTCAGGAACTGGGAGTCCAAAAGATATTCCTGGCCAGTGTGGATGATCAGAAACCACATTTTTTCCTTTCACTGCAGACTTTCAAACAGCCTAATGGGAAAATGAACTCTTTTACCCTTCTGAAGAAACGTGGTAGTGTTCTGGGCTCTGTGTGAGTAATCTAGTACCAAATTTATAATGATTACCACACCCCAGGGAACAGGGTGCATTGATTCACTTAGCCTGCAACTCAAACCAGGTGAGTATTTCTCTGAGAAATCCATACCATTAGATAGAGTTTATAGAGTTACAGGCTCTGATGTGATAAAAATGTAAGAAAGCCTCAGTTAATGCATTTATAATATAAGTCTTGAAATCCTTTCTTTCTCCAAGACCAGTATACACACCTCTAAACACTAATTTAACCCTTACAATCAGGGTAGGTTTGAAAGTATAAAAACACCCCACGGGAGAGTGAACCTCACTGACCTAGTTAAAACAATCCAAGCCACCATTATATGAAGCACTTTTGTTCATCAGCTTGTTCTGGCTAAGACAGAATGGGAGAGAGATTTTCTGATCCCATCAGACTTCAGCAATGGTGTTTGCTGGTGGCACTTATTCATACCTCCTATGAACTAAGCAGCCTATTCAACACCTTCAAGTGGATATCACCAGTGTATCTCAAGTCCTGTCAATCAAACCTCCTTGTAAGACTTGTTGGCATTGCATAAACCTCCGAGAGCAGCTAACTTCACCCTGTAAAAGTAGCCTTCACCACACTATCATTTGAAGGTTTTTCCCAAAACACAGCTTTCGTGTTACTCAGAACAGATCTCCATAGAATGCTTGGATTTGCACAGAAAGCCAAGATTTGCAAAAAATCATGTGAAACTTCACGTGTGAATGCACAAATACAAGCAGATAATGATTCAGTTTCACTCATAAACATAAGTTATTTCTAAAAAGTAATAGTAATCATGTATTTTCTGAAAATCGGGAATTCTAATGCAAAAGCATGTCTGCCTCAAGATTAAGTGTTCTCCCCAGCAGTTGAGATGATTAAAATGACCAGGCACTTGTGAGCATCAGGAATAAGGAATGAAAAGTGCCTCTATCACAGCTAAAACAGCAGCATTTCTTGGCTTCTACTCAGCTAAACAACAGAAGCAGCAGTAATTATCTCCCTTGGTGTAGAAAAATGTAAAAGTCTAAGCTATTTGCTGGAAGAAAAAAACCAGCATAATTTCTGTAAGAGGGATAAATAACTTAAAAGGGGGGTGAAAAAAAGATTTTTTTCACATACCTGCTTCATGAAGCTGAGGGGAGGAGTAAAGAATATTCTCAAAACTAGTCTGGCTTCCTTGATCTTAGGACTCATATAGGATCTTGTCTCCATCCAGACATGAAACAATAATGCCCTGCACTTTTCCCTTTGCATACACATTACACCTTCTTGCTCCTCCTGTTAGTGATAAAAAACAGAAGTAAGTAAGTATGTGTTGCAATGTCAGGCATCTCAGGTTGGGAAAAAACCTGCTGGGAGACTTCATCTGCTGTATATGTTTTCTCCTCTACGACGCATTCCGTTCTGTAGGATGTAGCTGGAAATAAAATACTTGAAGCTGGTTGTGGAGCAAGATATGCAGAGTAGAATCCAATTTTCATTTTCGAAGTTAGCTGACCAATGAAGTATGCTACTGCAAAAACAGTTCTGTCAGTATTTCCAAGGTACCTCTGACACTAAGAACATTTATAAATGCATCCAGGAAAATGTCTGGAAATGTAGCCTTTAACATACACTTATGAAAATATTTACATGTATTTATGAAAATGTATTTACCTTTTCTCGCTTTGTATAATGAATGCAAATCACCTTTTTCTTCATGAGTTTTATATAGCACTGAGCCAGGAGTATTTGTAGGATTTTGGAAGAAAAAAAAAACAAAACATGTTAGGTTTCCCCACCCACAATGAACTCTGAGCATCAGCCAATATTAAGACTATTACTTTCAAATGCATATGAACATATCCTAATCACTTTTCAATTATCATTACACAAACAGAATGTGTTTATATATATCTAGTTACCTGCTTCACACACGAATGTACACAGCATACAGATCAGCACTAAGAACGAGGAACCTTATTGATTGGGTTGTTTGACAACATCATTCTGCAAGTGGTAAAAGATAAACTGATTATTCTTCTCTGTTCTCAGTTATCTGTATTAATAATTACAAGGCGTTTATGAGGTCCTATTCTCTGGACCCTCTACATACATGGCGTCCACTGGAATTTAGGAATCCATCTTCCTGTCATGCTTAGAGAATCTAAGTGACTGTAATGGACTAACATGAATCAACCAAAATATCATTTATGTGAAGCACCACTGGAATTTAAGTTTTAATTCCACTTCTTCTAAGTATATGCAAGCCAGATGGAACAGCTCTGATATTTCAGTGTGTCAATGGTATTATCTCTATTCTGTGCTGCCTGGATGAGGTGGAGTAAGAATATTTTGATCCTCTTGCTTTGTGCCTTAGAGTATACATTCTCAGTGGGGCAAAATAAATCAAAAGTTAGGTGGTTTTCAGTGCCTGAGCTTGGATGATAAAAGCCTTGTTAAATATGCAGTGTAGATACAACAGCAATTTATGTAGTGTATTCCATAGAAAGACTGGATAAGTAAAATTACAGTCTATCTTATTGGACTTGACCCTAGAGCTGTGAGTGTGCTCCACCTGTTCTCATTAAATATGCAATAAATAAATAAATAATTTTTTTGATTTGTTATCTTCCAGTTAGATTTTATAACAGATGGTCAAAGAGCTCAGCGGTCACATTTCCATCAAGAAACAAAAGCAAATTTGGCAACAACCCTATCAAGATTAAGATCTTTCCTGCATATTTCAGATTAAAATAGCCTTGGGATTAAAATGTGTTCTCCTATGCTGATTAAATTTAATATCTTTAGACGTCAGACAAAAAGAACCATATGCAATTACTACTCTGAGACTGAGAACAAGGAAAAAAGAAAGGAAAAATAAGCATCACAATCACAACAGTCAAACAAGATCAGTTTTCCATCTGAAAAATATTTTTTCAGAGTGAAATAAAGCCTGCTGAGTTCATCAAAGTGGAAAGTGCTTTCTGCTCTAGATCAGTCTGAAACTAATCACAGGAAATCTAAAGAAGAATGTAATGAATTAGTTGGAAAAGGGATAACTGGCTTTCATTTCTTTTACTTCTCGCACCATCTTAATCGGAATAAAATATCACAGAACTTTGAGTTCAAGACTGAAAAGAAACTTGTACAATGCATAGTTTAGAAAGTCAGACTCGCTTGTTAACTAAGATAATGGTACTCTAAAGAAAAAGATGATGAAGACGAGAAATGTAGTAGTAAGGTATCTTCAAGCAGCATGATTGCAGTGTTATTCTCCAGAGAGGGTAATCTTATTTTTTGCAACTAAGACTGGCTTCTGTGCATGCTGGCTCCTTTATTGGGGTAGACTGTAATGTTTGGGATTTCTTTTCATTCTCATTAGCATTAAGGAGATTCTCATTGTAAGTTTCTGCTGTTTTCACACTTTGAGAAGGAGGGTACACAATTCTCAGTAAAGTCTCGTGGAAAAAACTTTAATTGCAAGGGAAACAAACTCTCAAACAGTGCTGTTAATACTATTGCGTGAAGTTGTTTAGTCCCATCTAGTGGCCAAAAATGACTTTACTGCACAGAATGAAACAAACACAGCACCTAAGCAACAGACCAGTAAATGCTATTATCTGCTTAAGCTCTGGACAAAAATTCTCATGCTAGTATTAGTTCCAGACTAACACTTTGTTAGATGATATCCCGAGGCAAAGCCATATACTGTGAATGCTCTCCAGCCACAACTAATTCCAGTGAAAACAGATACAATTGCATCTCAAAACTGAACTCATCTAAAGAAAGGCCTATCAGTGATTTTATTTTGTAGCTGACTTTGCTTTTTGAGAATATTTTTGTGTAGTAAATATCACTCTGTAATGGTATTCTGCAAAGTGCAGCTTACAATAGCATCTTAAACAGCTCTTTACAGATATTATGGATTCCATTACTATTGACACAGCTTTAAGACCAAGCAGAACTCCATTTTTCTGGCAAGTGCAACATCCTGCTCACATGGTACATACAACTATTGAAAAATCTCTGGCTTAACATGAGTGGGAGAAGTATGTTTTTCTTTCAGGACAGCTATAAGGTCTGTAATTGCTGGCATTTCTACACTCTTACTGACTAAGGAAAAGAACCACGTCCTCCATGAAGGCCAAGATGGCTGGAAGGAGCCGACAGAGACTAGAGGGGCGCAGAACCAGCAAGTGCTCTTACATGTGAAAACGCAATAGATACCAAAATGCCATGGCATGATTTTTCACAACAGAAGTTGCACTTCCTCGCTGCAACAGAGAGCACAAGTCAAAGTCAAATGCATTCTTTAACTTTACATCCCATTCATCTATTCTGGAAGATCAAATCTTATTTACTTTCACAAACCTGGAAGTCCATGTTCCAAAAACATTATTGCAATCAATTCTGTGCTGTGTGTGCATATTTTCTGAGAAGAACACTCTGCAATCATTTTTTAAGTGTCCTACCAGTAATTTTATTGCAAATATATCTTGTTTCTTTATAATGTGCTGCAATTATGATCATGTCATCACCAGCAAAAGTCTATTTACTTCATGCAGTAAAGGATTACTACGACAAAACTTGGTAAGCATAGCATATACCATGCTTAGTTTGGAAATTTGTAAGAGTAAATTTGGAGCATTATGTTACATTTCTGTGTCTCAGTTCAATGTGCAGCTTCCTTACATTTATATCCAAGAAACAAGTCTTTCCATTCTCCACTTTTCCTTAAGCTCAGATTATTTTGTGTCTGATACAGGAAAGCTCCTTGATAACTTACAGAGATGATTCCAATCAAGAATCTCTGGTTAGAAGTACTTTTTTAAGAAACACCTTTAACAAATTCTAGGTTACTCAAAAACATAGAACTGGCATGCATAACTAAAATTAAATTTGATTCAGAAAGATACTGCATTATTACATTGTCTGGCCTAGTTACAATCACTCAGCAAGAAATCCCAAACCTGGGACAATGGCTACAGTGTATGAAACACAAAATCCCCCAATTTACTTAACAGTCTCTGAAATTTCAGAGCAAACTCGATTATATTCAGAATACAGTTTTCAAAACAATGGAAATGTACATTGAGAAAAGTTATCGTGGTGTGCTGAGAAATCCAGATATAGGTAAAAATCGAGGTCCATTGGTTGCAGACAAGCAGCAGGAAAAGTGTTGCAATGCACATTTCATTATGTTCATTATGTATGGAAAAGTCCCTACCTCCTCCTGTATAGTTTCACACTGCACTAAGGTACTCTCTCTGTGTTCACGAGAAACAGGATTTATTGCCTGCACTGAGATTTTTGCCTCATATATACATGAATAGCATTTTTTTTGCTGTTGTTCAATTGCAAATTAATGCATTCTGAAAAACAGTAGTTCTGAAACTAAATGCCTTTATGTCCTACCTGTCTTTTCTTGTGCCTTTCCATGTTAGTGACCACTTGATCTGTTTGAGGTTATACATTCCTTTTTCCTTTCTGAAAAATACAGAAAAAGACCTCATTAGTGAAATATGAAATGGCAATAATTATACCTCTCTTATAGATCAACCAATACGAATCTTCAAATATAATCTTCTCTACTTTCCAGTTTTCCTATAAACAAGTCATTTTTGAATGGCATTACTGAAGAAGTCTAGGGAAAAAAATTCAGCTGAATTTAAGTCTTCATTAACCAGTGTTACTGCACTCATCACACTTGTATTTACAAAGGTGCCTCATAAAATCCTGCACTTTTTAGCAGCCTGCTATGCTAAACTTTACCTGATGAGAATTCTAATCTCCCTGTGCACTAGCATGGAAGTAGTTTCAATAGCAATCTCCACCAGCATGCTCTAATCACATGTGCTAGTCACTAGCAATAGCATTCAATTTAATCATTCTTAAGATCAGGCCTACTGAATTTCTACTGGATACTAACTTTCAAGCTGCTCCTTCCCTTTTCAACATTACCTGTTTCACCTTCCTCTTAAGTCAATCCATCATTCACCCCACAAAGTTGCTCTGTCTTTTCAAGTTGAAATAATTGTCCTTGAGTCACTAAATCATATGCTACACTGAACTCAAGATAGATTAGCTCTATTGTATTTTTCTTCCCAATAAAATCAATTCTTCTACCAAGGAAAGACACCATGTCTTTGTGATATGCATTACCTCTTGTTAATCCATATTGTCTTTGTGCCATTTTCCATTTACCTCTATGTCTTTAGTTATTTTCCATTTACCTCTATGTCTTTAGTTAAGTTTCCTGAAGAAAAGAGTGAAGTCTTCTGACAGAAGTTGAACTGCTGTTGCCAGTAATTGTCCATGTCATTTTTCTCTTGCGCTCTGAAAAAATGTCTTCTCATTCTATACAACTTCCCCTCTTATTGCAGTTCCTTATTTGGTTTTTACATGATCTGGTGAACTATGCTCAAAATGCATAAAACTAGAAAAGCATACTGGATTCTTCATCTGTGGAGAGAGTAAACATCTCATATAGAAACAACTGAAATGAAAGAGAAAATAAAACCTTCTCAAGCCACAATATTCAGAACACACAAAATCCTATGCAAATTCTAGTTGGAGTCATCTTTTAAAATAGAAAAGATTTTGGTGGGTTTTTTTTTGTTTGTTTATTTGTTTGTTTTTCTGGAATTTCAAAAATCCTGGTAATTGCTGGTGATTTTAAGCAGATCTTGAGCTCCTTCCTAGCTGTTACACACTATTTCAACAGTGAATCTGCCTTTTTAGTAGCTTTTAACTATGGATTTTTGACCTTAATGACAATGCGTAGATTGCAGATAACAACGTAAATCACACAACATGAATATGGTTTAGGACAAGGAGCAACACCTGTTTCTAAAATAATTGGGGTCTAGGATGCTTTGGTTTATGATGCCTAAGATGAGCATGCAGTACAAAACCAGTTATTCATGCCCTATTATCAGGAATATATCCCTGCTCAAAAGCAGGGATCTAAGCCAGTGGGTCTTACAGGAATAATTAAA